AGAAAAGCGGGTTTTCCCGTTTTTTTTTTTTTACTTTTTTTTTCTCTTTTGATTGACTGATTGATTGATTGATTGATTGGTAGGGGATGGGTCGCCCCCCCAACCCCCACTCAATCACACAGACACACACACACGGGGCAACCGCCCTTTATTTTTTTGCTACCAAAGTTTTTTTTTTCCCCTTTTTTGTCTCGTTTTTTTTTTTTTTTTCGATTTTTAAAAAATCCTGTTTAAGGCCAAAAAATCGCAAAAAAAAAATGGGGTTGTAGATATCGAAAAGATCTACAACCCCATTTAAAAATAAAAAAAAAATGATTTTGTTTTGCCCCTGGGACACCTTCGTACGGACGTCGTCCGTATGGCCGTCCGTACGTCCGGGCCGTACGGAGACCCCCCGTACGACGTACGAGGGACGGCACAGATTTCACTGTTTATTTATTTTTCCTCCCGCCTCCCCCCCATGCTTTCTATTTTATTTTCTTGATTAGGTCACTGGTACCCTACGCCAACCACTCAAACCCCGGTTAGGGTTTTCTTAGGTTTTTTTTAGGGTTTAGGGTTTTCCTAAACCCCCCTACTCCCCCTTTCCATTCAGGCACCCTGGACCCGAACCACCCTTTCCCCTTTGCGGGCGCCCGCGCTCGACTCGCTAGCGCCGCCCGTCGCTTTGTACCGGGGACCCCCCCCTACGCCCTCTGCTCACGGGGACCTCCTCTGGCCACCTCCAGTCCGACCCGTCACCTCCTCATGGCCGACAGCGTGTCACAAGCCTCGAACGTGGCGACGACCTTGGCACCGGGCTCCATACCCGTGTCGTCGGACCAGGGCCCTCAACCCTAGGGCGATCTGCACAACCTCCTCACCTCCCTCCTTGCGCCCTTACAGGCGCAGGTGGCGACTCTTGCCGCTGGCCTGTAGCAACTGCAGGACGCTAGCCGTCCTTACTCTCCCCACTCTCTCTCTTCCCCTGACTCCCGTCCGGGTCCCCCGTCCTTCGACATGGTGGCCAAGGCGGAGCTTCCTCCTCCGCTGGCCCCGACCCAGCCATCCTGGTGACCATCCACGCTCCTAGCGCGACAGTCGCCACGGGCCAGACCTTCCCTCAGTCTACGGGCGCACCCGCCCAGATTCCGGTCACTACGGCCACGGGACCACAACCCGCTGCAGTGGTCTCAACTTTTCTGGGTGCCCCACTTCTCCCTCCCCTTTGCAGGACCGCAGCGCCACTTGGTTCTCCCCCTTGTGGGATGCCTCACGCCGCTCGTCTTGAGGACAAGTTTGCCCAGACCCGGGCCGACCTCGCCCTCTTACGCCTTCAACCACCCCTAACCTCACAGGTGGCCGCGCCTTCGGGCGCACCCCCTTCTTCCTCTACTTTTCCTCCCATGCAGGCTCGCTTCTCTCGCCCTGCACCCTATCCACCCCCATCCTACCTTCTTCCTATTCCCTCGGTTGCTGCGACCTCTTCTACCGCAGCTCCCTCGCAGCCTGCCGCTGTTGCCCCCACAGCTCCCCCATGCGGCCCGGGCGTACAGTCAGCTGCGCCCCCTTCTCCAGGATGTGCGCCGACTTACTCAGCCGTAGCACTGGCCTCTGCTCCTCAATCCCCTCGCCGCCAAAACGGTGGTGCGCCACTCGTCCGCTTGACGGACATTGCCTTGTACGACGGTACAGGGATACGCGTGTTTCGGTGGCTGCAGTCTGCTACCCACACGCTCCAGCTCATGGGCGCCCCATACGACACGTGGGTGGGTCACCTCTCCACGCGCCTGCGTGGAGGTCCTTTCGACGCCTGGGAGAATTTCAACGAGCACTCCCTTCGTGAGGGTAGGACCCCGACCTTCATGGATTTTCAGGCGTTCCTCGAGGATCGCTTCGGAGCCCGACATGACGTCACTGACGCCTTCGAGCGTGTCGTCAGCACACGCTGGTCTGACTCTGGTGGCGATGCCGGCTTGAACCGCCACATCCAGGTCTTCCAAGACGCCCGCCTCATTTGTGATGTGGCGTTCCTCCTTGAAGCTTCCCTCATCGATGGTTTTTTGGCCAGCCTTCCTCTTGAGTATCGCTCCGAGTTATGGCGGTACGAGTTCACATCGGCCCCGCAGGCTTACGAGGCCGCCAGGACCCATCAGCGGATGCGGGCCCGTCTTCACCCCGCTCCCTCCTCCCATCCTCAGCGTACTGGCTACGCCCCCTCCTCCTCTCACGACACTTCCCAGCGTCGTTCCCCTTTCCGCGGCCGCCCCCGCTATTCCGCGCAGCAGGGCCGCCACTTCTCGCGCCGCTTCAGCGCACTCGAGTATGGTGAGCAGGACGCTATTGCCCCGCTGTCGCCTGAGGGTGACCATAGCGACGACCTCGACCTCTACAAGATCGTCCACTACCACCTGGAGGACCCTACCCTCCCTATAGCCGAGTGCCTCCAGCTCGCCCTCTCCACCCTCTCTCGGGCACGCAGCCGCCCTGGTCACGCTGGCGCGTCGCCCCCCGATGTCCCTCAGCAGGACCTTCCTTAGGGCTTTGTCCCTCCTCGCGGTGTCCTTTCCCCCGAGGAGCGTGCGACCATTTTGGGCCGGCGTGGGTGTTTGCGATGCTGCCAGAACGGGCATACCTCCTCATGGTGCCCTTACACCGCCGTCCTCGACCGCCACTACGCTGACATTTCCCGCCAGCGTCGTGCTCAGTCCCCTCCCGGCGCCTCGCATCCCCGCGGCGCCTCCGAGCCAAGGTGCAGTGTACACCTGTGCCCTCCTCAGTAGTTGGCTTCCCGACATCTCCGCCGCGGTTCGCCCCTCTCGCTACTGGAGCTGAGGTATCGCAGGACCCGACAGAGTGTACTCAGCCCTCTGTCGCAGTACCGTCTGTGCCTCCGCAGACCACCGTCTCCCCTCCTACCCCTTTGCGACTACCGACGTCTCGAGCCATTCGCTCAGCCCATTGCAACGAGCAGCTTGCGACTCGCGAGGACGTTGTGTCCTCTCTTTTGGACTTGGGCATGCTCCAGACTCGTCAGGAGCGACTCACCCTCCATGTCGCTGCACTGCGTCGCCTTCTCACCATCCTCTCTAACCCTGAGCGCACCCTCCCGATCATTCCAGTACGACTGGGGACCTCCACGAGGGTGTACTCAGCGCTGTGGGATTCCGACTCTCAGGGCGACTTATTCACCCACGTGTGGTGAAAGAAGCCCGCTTACCCATGACAGGGTTTCTGACTCCCATCTCTGTCACCTAGGGGATGACAAGACCCAGCGCTTCTTCGATCAGATGTTCACCGACCTCCCTTTCTCCATCACTCTCGAGCCGACTGATCGTCCCCCTGCGTCTCGTCGCCACCGCTCCTCTGCACATTTCGATGTGATGGAGACGGGGTACGACTTCATTCTCGGTACTCCGTGGTCTCGTCGGTTCCGCAACACCGAGGCCGATTGGGCAACCGACACTCTCGTTCTCAAAACGAATCGTGGATAGACGTATCGCGTACCTTTCATAGGTACGACCGCGACACCACGCCCCGACCCTCCTCCCCCGGAGCCTTCCGTGCCCACACCATCTCCTACTATCACCGTCACCTCGCCTCGGCAGTTCGCCCACTTCATCCTACAGGACGACGTCACCTTCTTTACGGTGAACGTTACGGATCTCTTGCACTATGATCCACCCTGTCTCGACGCCGAGCTCATCTCTCTGGAGCCAGATCCTCCTTCTATCTTCATGGCTCCCATCTCTACTTCGCTCCCTCCGCCGTCCGTCGAGTCCACCCCGTCGTCTCTCGCTAACGCTGACGCTGAGGAACTCGCACGCTATACGGCCGACCTGGAGCCCGCAGTTCGTGACCTCATTCGAGAGTACCACGACGTTTTCCCATCGTCGTTCTCGTACGCCGACATCCCACCGATGCGCGACGTCGAGCACTCCTGCCTGACTATCATGTTCACCACCAGGCACCCTACAGACTCTCGATCCTCGAGGCCACCGAACTCAAGCGTCAGCTTGAGGAGCTCCTGAGACCGGGTTTCATTAAACCCAGCAACTCCCCGTAGGGTGCACCCGTCCTCTTTGCTCGCAAAGCAGATGGAACTCTCCATCTCTGCATCGACTATCGCGGTCTCAACCGCTACACGGTTAAGAACAACTACCCCATGCCTCGTTCCGACAAGCTGTTCGACTGCCTAGCAGGCAACCGCTTCCTTACGAAGATCGATTTTCGTAGCGGTTACCATCAGATCCGCGTCGCTGCAGCGGACCAGCCGAAGACAACGTTCCGATCGCGCTTCGGCCACGACGAGTTTACGGTGATACCATTCGGCCTCACCAACGCACCCGCTACCTTCCAAAGGGCGATGAACGACACCCTCAGGGACATCCTGGAGCAGTATATTCTCGTCTACCTCGACGATATCTTGATCTACAATCGTACCCTTGAGGAGCATCTCAGACACCTCCGCGATGTTCTTGATTGCTTGCACAGACATGGCTTCTACGCCAAGCTGAGCAAGTGCCGCTTTGCCCAACACAAAGTGGAGTTCTTAGGACACTACGTGTCTAACCTGAGTCTCCACATGGACGACGCGAAGATCACTGCTATTGCGCAGTGGCCCGTCCCCACATCCGTCAAGTAGCTTTGCAGCTTCCTAGGCCTCACTAGCTACTATAGTAATTTCATCCAGGGATACACTAAGTATTCCTACGTCCTTACCTCCACCCTCCTCCGGAAGAACCCGCCATGGGCTTGGACACCCCTCCACGAGGACGCCTTCCCCGCCTTCAAGAAGGCGGTGACATGTGCACCGGTTCTTCACCTACCCGATTTTGATCGCCCCTTTATCCTTACCACCGATGCGTCAGACTTTGCTGTAGGAGCAGTGCTTTCTCAAATTTTCCCCTCCTCTCCTGATTCCTCTCATCCTCGTATCCCTTGCTTCCCACCCCCTACCCCTACCACAGCTTCTCGCCTTACGCCTACTCGTCCAGCTACTAACGAGCCTTCTATTGACTATTCTCCTACCATCGCCGAGGACGACACTGTCGAGTCTCGCTAAGGTGATTGTCTGATAGCCTTCTACTCCCGTCAGCTCCTGCCCGCCGAGATAAACTACACCACTGATGAACGTGAGGTTCTCAGAGTAGTTTATGTCGTTCGGCACTGGCGTCACTACTTGCATGGGGCACCATTGACGGTGCGCATGGACAACTCTGTTGTCCAGACTTCTCTGACAAAGCCGAAACTCATTCCTCGATAGGTTCGTTGGTGGCGCGACCTATTCGAGTTTAGTTTCACCATTGAGCACATCAAGGGTGAGACTAATCGGGTCGCAAATGCCTTATCCCGACGCCCTGTCCAGGATCAGGAACAGATCCAGCTCGCTGTCATCTCGGTCACCACCGTCCACCACTCAGTGATCGACGAGTTTCGCACTCAGTACCGCCACTGCCCCGACTATCGCGACATCCATGCGACCCTTCGGAGTGGGAAGATTGTCTCGAACTACTCTCTCGGGGACAACGGTCTTGTGTACAGGCACGGTTCACAGGGCATCAGAGAGCCCTGTATTTGCGTTCCCTCCACTAGAGAGCTACGTGTCCACGCAGTAGCAGAGTTTCATGACCAGGCAGCCGCCGGTCATATGGGCTTCCACAAGTCGTTGGCTCGTGTGAGTCGCTTGTACGTCTGGTCGAAGCGCAAGGACTTTGTGAAGGACTATGTCGCAGAGTGTCCCACTTGTCAGGAGGTGAACAGTGCGAACCACCTGCCTTATGGTTTGCTCCAACCTCTTCCTATTCCTGAGGGTCGTTGGCAGTCCATCTCGATGGACTTTATCGGTCCTCTTTGTCCCCCGACCCCTCGCAGTCATGATGTTATCATGGTCGTCGTCGACCGCTTCACGAAATGTGCACACTTTGTTCCGTGCCGCTATGCCATTTGTGCACGTGAGGTCGCCGACATCGTGTTTGACCGAGTCGTGCGTGACCACGGCTTACCTCCGAGCATCATATCTGACCGTGACCCGCGCTTTACCAGCCGATTCTGGCGACGGCTCCACGAGGTTTACGGCACCCAGCTCCGCTTCTCCTCATCTTACCATCCCCAGACTGATGGTCAGACTGAGGTCACGAGCAGGACTCTCGGAGATATTCTCCGAGAGATTGTTCATGACGACCAGCAATGGGATCTCCATCTTGCCCACGCGGAGATAGCCTACAACCACGCCGTCTCGCCAGCCACGGGGATGTCGCCTTACTATTGCGACCTCGACTATCACCCTCGTGTTCCCGCGGACTTCCTTCGACCGTCACAGATGCACCCCGACACGAGTTGTCCCGCGCTGGATGATTGGGTTGCACACATGACGTCGATCATGAAGACCACGTATGAGCACATAGCCGCTTCCCAGACTCGCATGGCAGCACGTGCGAACCGATCGAGGATGGATCATCCATTCAAAGCCAGTGATGATGTGCTTATCAATGCCCGCCACTTACAGCTCGAAGCGGCGTCGCTTCTTTGACCCATGCCACATTCTCCAGTCCGTCGGTTCTGATACGGCTTCTTGCCCGGTCAGCTTCCGTGTGAAGCTGCCCGACTACCTACGCCAGACTCGTGTGCACGATGTCTACCATGTCTCATTACTGTGTCCCTACCGCAGACCCTCTGAGCGTTTCGCCGGACGACCATACGAGCGCCCTCCACCCATCATGGTGACGACCACGAGAAGCTGGTCGCCGAGTCACCGACGACAACCCTCCCCATGTCGAGTATCTCGTACGTTGGAAGGGTTACCCTGATGAGGACGCTACTTGGGAGCCCCTCGAGCACTTGCAGCATGCTCGCATTTTGGTGCGTGCCTATGACCGTGCTCGTCGTGCTGGGTTCACTGCTTCTCCTCAGCCCACTGACCCTCCTCCCTCGGCTGAGGAGACCGCTGAAGTCGAGCCTGCTCCATCTGAGGCAGACCTTCAGCAGCAGCCGGATGCTTCTGAGCGTCCACATCGCACTCGTCGTCGTCCTGCTCGATACGACGATTGACTCTGACTTATCTTCCCATGTCTTTGATTTCTCAGTACTCCATCCACTCCAGTTTTGCCACTTCAGCTCGTCGACGTTGCGACTCTTACTCGACAACATTCCGGACTTCTCATCATGGACGTCATCGGCAACTTCATGGACTTCTTCACAATCAGCTCTGCCTACTTCACACGTCGTCGCTCCCTGACCACCGAACCTTGTACAGTACCCTGGTTGTGTCGCATGATGATCTCCCTTCGCCGGGTTCCTCTGAGTTCGGCTCTCCCTTGGTATACACATAGGCATTGGGACCGTGGCATGCCTTGGCTTCCCATCTTACAGATGCAGCTCCAACTTCTCCCATCTTAGTAGTCATTTCCATGATTCCCTTACCCATCACTTTTTCTACCCTCTGCCGCCCCTTACGCCCTAGTTAGGCAGCCTTGCATGCTTCATCTAGGTGCGCCCAGTATACCAGGCTCCCTTGTTCCCTTGCATGGTCGACCCTCCATAGCGGTCACCCCTTTAGTCAAGCATTACCCGCCCTGATGGTCTATCTGTTAGGGTCATTGGTTTTGTCCGCTCCCAGTTACCTACCCTCATTGAGCCTGATGACATGTGCCTCCCTGTCATTTTGTGTGGATGCCCTTAGGAGTTATCGACCCCTAGGCTGCAYTCGCCACCCTCAGAGACCATCCCACCTTTTGGTTTGCGACACACTCCTCCTGTGACATATGGTTGTCTTGTTGTTGCTTTGTTGCTCTCAGACTGAGGCTACTGCCTCAAACATTTCTAGGATTTACTTGTTCCGCTTTTGCTGTTCTTAGGACTTATACGCTAGTCAGCTGTTTCCAGATTGAGGCTACTGCCTCCAACATTTTAGGATCTAGCTGTCATTACTTTCTGCTTTCTTAGGACATGTATCCTAGTTAGTTGCTGATGCTTTCACTTAGATTGTTAGCTGTGACATTGTTGTTTTTGTGATATTTTCTATCCTAGGTTGCATCGCATGGACTCAGCATGGAACTTGCTCCGCATCCTAGAGTACCCGGGTTTTCTTTTTCTTTGAAAGAGTTCCGCTTCTTGGCAGAAGCGTGCTTGTATCTAGGCGATCCATCACAAGCCGAGGATCGTGTAGCGGACCAGCCCCTTCACCTGTTCTTACAGGCCTGTGTTGTATTCGGGGAAGTCCACTCCAGGCCGGTACCTCTGTCGGTACCTGCTAGTCTAGTCCAGTCCAGTCAGTCCGCTAGGGTATACCCCAACTGTTGTTTGTTTGTGAGATCATTGTACATTCGCACATTTTGGAGTACGTGCGTTGGAGTTGAGCGTGGTAGCTGCGCTATGTCATCTCGCTCCCCCTTAATCCTCCATCTCTATCTCTATCCCAGGTGGACCACCACACCTGGTGGGTCCGCCACACAAAGTGTCTGGTGGCGGGAGCGTCGTGGAACTCACCAAGAAGCTGTGTACGCAAGTGAGAGTCACTCGGTACGCAAAGAAAGTCCTTTCCCTACGTGTGGACAAGCAGGTACCCCTCTTGGATCCGGTAGTGAAAAGGCGCTGGATTAGGAGAGGAGCAATTCGCGTACTTGTTGCGAAACTCGGGGTCGGCTTGGTAGCCGCGGATGAAGTTGTCGCGCATGCCGTCGTCGATCTCGAAGGTTGAATAGACCGTGGTACAGTGATCCGGACGTCGTGAAAGTGCATCCGCAAAACGGTTCGACTTCCCCGGAATGTGATCGGGAAAGAAGTCTAACTAGTAGATGAAAGCCATCCATCGGGCGAGGGTGTTGTTGATGGTGTCTTGGGTCTTGTAAAAGACCAACGGATTGTTATCCGTTACCCATTGTAATTGACTTCGACCAAGGAGGAAGTGCCGCCACCGCTTGACAGCGTGGACGAAGGCGAGGAGCTCCTTGCGTGCATCATCAATGGAGTGCACGACGAACACTTTCTTGCTGAAGTACTCGACCAGGTGCCAGTCCACGCCATTGTGTTGCTCGAGGACGACACCAATGTCATAGTTGTACGCATTTGTAGAGAATCGCGTTGGCAATAGCGGGTCGTATATGCGCAAGACCTCCGCAGATAATAGCGCGGCTTTGAGAGCCCAAAATGATTCTCGCGCATCCTTTCCGAAGTCAAACAGTTGATCCTCGCGTTGAAGCTTGGCCAAGTGGGCGGGCCGCGATTTTCGAGTATCCCTTGATAAAACGTTGGTAGTAGCCGGCAAAGCCAAGGAACGAACGAACATTTGTGACGTTCCTTGGCTCCGGCCACTCTTGGATGGCTTGAATCTTGTCCGACAACGGACTGATGCCCCCCGGTGTGATAAAATGGCCCCCAAGTATTCCAGATCTTGCCGGACAAATTCGCACTTGTCGTGGTTGGCCTTGTACTTGGCGCGGCGGAGCGTCTCCAACACTCGTCGAAGGTGCCCAAGATGATCCTCCAATGTCCGGTGTCGAGCGCACGGTCCCCACACACGAGAGGACCTTCCCGGCCGCAACACGCAGGATTCGGCAGGACTTTAGTCGTAGAGCGTTGCCGCTCTGGCCGAGTGCGTCAGCCATATCTTTCGCGAACCCCTACGACATGATAGGGCCACGCGAGGTACAACTTACTTCCACCTGCGGGTGTTGTCACCATCCCTTAGGTGGGCGTATCCCCACCAAGCTACCAGTCCACAATACGAAAGCTTTTACATGCAATCGCAGAGGTGGACCAGCCGAGGGCGTTTTCTCGTACGTTGTAGCATAGGGGGGTACGTGAGGTTCCACGCCTTTATCGGACCCGTACGCAAGCTGACGCACTGGGGGGCTAAAGTCCCAAGCGAGACTCGTCGTCGGTCGACTAGGACGCATCCTTCTTACCACGCGTTACACCACGCCAGAACAAAAGTCAGATCCATCACACAAAACAAAAACACTCCTAGTCCCTTCAGTATCCAACCCATAACCTTCTGTTACGAAAATTCGGTTAGGTATCGCACGCGTGTCTTAATATAAAACCGCGCGGATGCAAGGTTTTTTCATATCGACTAAGCCATGCAAGCATTCGCAAGCAGTCACAATGATGGCGTACTATGTAGTACCCATAATCGAGCGGTCCTCAATGGTTTCGAGGGTTGCGTTCGACACTCAAGTGTCGGCTGACCAGCGCCTTGAGGGGTTAATCTCTCGACGCTAGACAACCGCCAAGGCAGTTGAGAACCACACCCTCTTCTGCACCCTGCGGAGAGTGGGTGGTACACAGGTTCCGGCCTGTGGTGGCAGTCAACCCTCATGGCCATGGAGACAATCCAGGGCCTGAAGATAAGTCAAGGGGTTTGACTTTGACGGTTGGCACGAACATCAACGTCCAACTATGAAAATCTACAAGCAAAATCACCCAGTAAATAAATAAGCATCCCAGTACCTATATATTAAATCAGAACTCGAGATAAGATAAAGGAAGGGAAAATAAACCCATCAGATATGCAGATCGCGCGATATATGGTTGGCATTCTCACTGCCTCCAGCGTAAGACTCGTATACCAAGCTCCAAAATACTAACCTGCATAAACACATGCACATACGAAAGCCACATTGTCATGCACGAATGTGGTCAACTTTACTGTTCCCTGTAACGCATACCACGCCTTACACGCACAACCCCAACCATTATCAAACTTTCCATAAAAACCCATCAGTTCTCTATAATGGTCATTAAAAGAAGTCTGGTTAAAACCTTCAAAGAAACATATCAAATTTAAGGACTAAGGCATTCATGCTGAGATACAAGTGCACGCAAAGTTGTGTCGTGAGCCGACGAGTCGGCGATCAACCAACCAACCTGTTATCAAAGATAACAAAAGATGATCCTCATAGGACCGAGCTAAACTAGTTAGATCTTGATTCAAAGAAGGACCTGTTACACAACACAGGTCAAATCCCAAATACTTGAACTTTAAGTGTACGGAGAATAAATCTCCATGTCACATCTTACTCAAAATCTCGTAAGACTAGATCTTAAATCTCTCTCTCCAATGGACCTCAAAGAATAAGGGAAATTCTGGCAGCATTTCCCCTATACAGGGTGAATTGCCACGAATTCTCCTACCAGAATATAATCTAACTCTTCAAAACTAGGACAATTTCGGCAGCGCTTCCCGTAGGAAAAGTGCCTTTTCAGAATTTATATGAGACCAGGGTAACCGGCATTTGGGACGGGCCGAACGCCCGAACCCGAACGCCCGAACGTATGGGACCCCTTGCGGATGAGTTCGGCCGTTCGGACCGAACGCGGACCAAAAAAAAAAAAAAAAAAAATTCATCAAAAAAATCTAAAAAAAAGATATGTTATGGAGAAAAATAAATTAAACAAGATTTGC